ATTGATTTTTTAACGCATTTTTTCCGAGGTGTTTAGTGCCGATAGTGTAATTCTCTGTAAATGTCCGGCGCTGAGCCTGATTGGCAATTACAGCAGGACTTCAGTTAAGACAAGGGACGATTAGAAAACTAATTCGAGACGCACCGGACATATTTGGTTACTATTAAAATAAGTGGAAACGGCTAAATTGCGAGCTGCCTCCGGGCCCGTCCAGTCCGGGCTGCCTAATTAAATAGCTAACACGGATTAATTTCGCTGCAGTTCCAAGGGCTTTGGGTTCGGTATCAGCCGGGTGCGATTACGCGATTTATTAAATAACAAACTCACCGAAGTGAAGCCACTGGATTGCATCAACATAATAAGAAGACATCGTACATTCGCCGCTATATTGGATACACGAGATGAAGCCTCAGTATGGGGCCACATGTGGAGGACTTAAATTATAAAGTGCACAGGGATTTTCCCAGATGGTTTAATGTTTTCGGTTGATGACTTTATTTTCAGTGCCTACTTCAACTTTCTCCTGTTTGTATTTGTGTCTTCAAATTCCAAAGCGGTTTAGCAGCAAGAGAAAACTCGCGCAAAACCAGTTTACTGTTATTTGCATCACACGCCAATCCAGCTGGAAACTGGCTGATTCCGGCAAATCCATCAACGAAGATCGAATCAACAAAGGCAAATCCAATTTCCGCGTTGTTTAAGACAAAGAAATCCCTTGAAGCCATCCAGGTTGGTGCAGCAATAAAACTGCATACTGTGTGTGATCAGTGGCAAGTTTGGGGCTATTTTATGGGAGCCCGGGCTGGGACGCGCGGCGCATATAAATGTCCGATGATTTATGCATAGTATTCGGATGGAATGGCATTCTTTGTTGCAGTGTGGCACATGTGCTGAAAGAGTCTGGATGCGACGTTCCCGAGTACCTGCTGGCGATCAAGAAGAAGAACAAGAAGGCGATCAAAGAGGTGGCAAGGAGGGCGCCAACGCGCGACGAGATCACCACCGTGCCGATTTACGATCGGCTGAAGGGAGGCAAAAAGTAAATATAACAATGGCAAAAATTGAATACGAATCGACGCTGCTCGAAACTAAGACTTCGAAAATCCCATTTATTAATATCAAAAGCTCTGAAATTGCGGTTTGTGCCAACAATGGTATCGGGTTCGGGCTGGGAATTAAATTATTCCGGAACTTAATTTGATCCGAAACATCAATGTAGTTAATATTCAAAAGATTGTTTATTTTAACTTGTTCGAGGGATTCTTGCGCCCCGCCCCACCTATCCGGGGGAGAAATCGAGGCCGTTGATGGAGAATTAATTTGCTCCTGACGTATCACTTATTTAGGCCCAGATTTACAACTATATTTAGATGAGTTTAATTGTTGGGGATTAAAGGGCAACCTCGAGCAGTGACGTGTTGATTCACAAGCATGAGAAAACACACGTTTTCCGCAGTTGGGGGGCAACGTTTTCAAGTATGGTTATTCGTAGGCAAAAGTTTCGGGAAATTGCCAAAAGAATGAAAGCCGCAAAGCAGTCGAATCCCAAGAAGATGGTCAAGAAGAGTTTGCAACAGCGCACTAAAACAAAGCAGGTTGGCGAAAAGAAATTGAAAAGGGAGAAGAAGAAAAAACCTGCCTCCAAGCAGAAAACAAGATAGAGTTAATGTAGTTGTAAAAATATAAAACTTTAAATCCAGTCATTTTATTTTATTTAATACCCAGGAATAAAAGCGCACTCCTATTTCACATGTAATAGACGGATATCTATTAATTCTTTGCGCTCAATGCCGCACTTGAAGAATTTTCTTCGAATTTGCTAGAAATGCTCTTTACGAAACCCCAATTTCTTGCAATTGGGGCGATTTTTCACACATTTAGCTCACATAGTGCTACTCCGTCACATGTTAAATTTAATATTTTTTACGCGATAATACAATTTTCGGCAATTTTGAATGGGTGCTGCCATCTTATACCATTTACCTAGTTATAAAAATGTCAAAAAACATTGCTTAATGAACGCAGTCCGGAAACGTCAAACTTTCGCTTGCAAAAAATCCTTCTATTCAGTCGTACATATGGATTTGGGTAGAGAAAAAAGCTGAATGCTTCAAGTTGGAAGCCTGTGATTTACCCAGAATACGATTTGGACAAAATACGCAACTTTTTCGGGCTAAAATGCAATCCTAACCAAATTTATTGAATACAATTGTCAGTCTGATCGGTTTCGATATGCGACTGTCAAGGTCCAACGTATTTTTTTACTGGTTATAACGAACCCGTTTATAACGAACTCCCGGATATAACGATCACTTTTTAGGTTAGTTCTATATTCACTTTTCGTTTATAACGAACTTCCACGCTCAGCAACACGAATCGTGCGGAGTTGTTTACATTAGTGAGAGCGAGAAACAAGCAGTGACTTGGTTTTTGCCGCGTTATGTATGTAAATCGTTTTAGAATGGAAAAACAAAAACGCAAAGTTTTTCACTAAATGAAAAGTACGATATTATTAACAAAATAAAAAGTGGAGTAAAGCAGAGTGGCATTTGTAAGGATTAACACTTGGAAAGTCTACTGTTG